TTCGGTTTATCTTATGAAAAGAATTTTTTCACATCACTTTTAATATGACTTTGTACTAAGCAAACGTGACATAAAGGGAGCAATCAAGCTAATAGAATTCCAAGAAATTACCATCAGTTTTCAAGAATTCTGGGACCACATATTTCGCATCGTTGGCAAGTAACCTACAGTCCATTTTGCGATTTTGTATCAGAGCAACGTAACATTAAAGGAGGTCGATCGTCGGATAAATTTCATGAAATGACATGTTTTAAGAATTCTAGAGAATGCAATTTTGCAGTCCTTATACGAATATTATACAAAATACATGGTCTTCCCATTGTTGGGAATTTTTATTATTATCCTTACCTTACTTACCTTTCTTACCTTATTTACTTTAATTCGTCCTAAATCGTATTAATTTGCATATTTCTTCAACAAATACTGCTTACTCTTATTTTTCAAAGGATCAAAGGGATTTTAAAAAATTTACAAGAGATAGAACAGATACAAAATTTATTACTAAATCATTGCTAACTTATACATAATATATAATTAACTTATAACTAATTAATGACTAACTTATAACTAACTTACAACTAGCTTATAACTAATATTTCAACTTTGGTGCGCAGCTCTTAGCTTGGTATCATTCCCAAAAATAATTAATTGAGAAACGATACCAATTACCAGGTCTCACCACGTGGAGGTGGCTACGCATCGAGACCCGACATGCACCCTAGTGGCGCAGCCTGCTGGCGCTATCTGTATCAAAGGTATCCTAATCTAACTTGGAGCGAATTAAGTTAAAGTGACTCTACTGACACTTTACTTTATGTCGTGTCTTACAAAAGGGACTTCGATTCGGTATACTAAAACTCTACTGTCGGAATGTTAAGATATTTTCAAGTTCCCATAAAAATAGGGAATGAAATATCAAACACGCGAGCAAATAGAAAATCGCGACGCGCCCGAACGAGTTCGCGATTATTCGAAAGACCGACTAGCCTAGGCGATGTACTCCCGTGTACAGAGATAACTTCATACCTCGGCACCCTCCCGATCGGGCCTAGCTCAATTCCAGTCACTGTCGCACTCGCCAAGACTTACACGTGGACCAAGGATAGTCCCTGAACCAATGAAACTTCTAGTGTCAACGCGAGGGCCCTGCTGGGCGGTTGCCGGCCAAGACAGACACTTCGCATCCCAGCCACACGGGGTAGAACTTAATCATCCCTGTGGTCTAACCGTAGATGGTACTAGTCCGTCAGCCAGCATGTGCCCGAGCCCCAGTCGCGTACGACTTAGGCAGCGGACCGCCCCGTCGAGGTCAGAAGACGCACTGATCCGAGGGGGTCACCCTGGAACCCGATGCATGACGAGATTGACAGTGACTGGAAATGAGTGTCGGAGACGAGTCGTGAGGATGACTTACGAAGCATGTACTTATCGAGTACACGAGAGCACGTCGCGTAGGCTAGTCGGTACTTACGAACGATCGCGATTATCGCGAGAACAATTATGTTCTATTTGCTAAACGAGGGGGATAAGAAAATGATAGAGAATTTATAAATTTCGCTCCAAGTTAGGTAGCTTACCTTTGTACAGATAGCGCGCACATGATACTTAGTCTATGGATCTATCTTATGATTACTTAAAAGTAAACGCACGCATCGTTCATTGATGTGTCGCAAACAGAATCTTGAGAAACCTAAAAGCTAAAACAGAATATATTATTGTTAATATGTAGCTGAAAGGAAAGGGATTAGTACGAGGAAACCATCAAGGATAATAACCAAATGGAACGAGCAAGCCAACGACGAGACCTGAGCAACATAACTACGAGACAGAAACATTCCAACGGTGAGATATAAACATACCAACGAGGAAGCGCTCGAGTATTATACGAAATACTCGAACGCTCTAACGAAAACAAATCGAACGGAAGTCGTAAAATTTGTGAAAGGAAAGATTTAGCCAACGATGAGACATAAGTAAACCAACGACGAAGCATTCGAATATTATACGAAATACTCGAATGCTGAAACAAAGACACATAGAATGAAAAAAATAAAACCTGAAAGAAGAAATTATTGTTAAATTATTTAAGAGAGTGGACAATGGCCACTGAATAGCCATTGATCTAGCCAACGATGATATACAATACAAATAAACCAACAACGAAGCATTCGAATATTGTACGAAATACTCGAATGCACAAACAATGAAAACTAGAATGAAAGAAATAATATCTGAAAGAAGAAAGAGAATTAAAACCTGAAAGAAAAAATAATTAGTACCTGAAAGAAAAATATTAACGCGGACCCTCCGAAGTCGAGGCGACAACTGGCTCGAGCCTGCCCGCGGGGCCCTTATATAGCAGCGGCCGACCGAAGATCGGCGAAAATTTCCGAACTTTACCGATTCCTTTAAAAGTTACTTTTCAGCTGTAATAACTAATAATTTATTAACTTTCTTGACTTTTATCTTTAATATACGTTGCAAACTATTTGTTATCGACAATTTTAATTTGTTATTAACAATATATTTATTAATTTATTAACTTCTTGTAAGTTCCGAATATATTCTAACACAAATACGTCGTTTGATTAAGTAGTAGGCAATAATTTATTAACTTTTTTGACTTTTATCGTTAATATACATTACAAACTATTTGTTATCAACAATTTTAATTCGCTATTAACTATAAATTTATTCATTTTTTAGCTTTTTGTAAGTTACGAATACATTTTAACACGAATACGTTGTTTGTTTAAGTAGTAGCCGATAATTTATTAACTTTTTTTACTTTTATCGTTAATATACGTTGTGAAATATTTGTTATTAACAATAAATGTAGTAATTTATTTACTTTTTGCCAATTATAGATACATTTTTACGCAAATACGTTGTATATACTAGTAATAGCCTATAATTTAGTAATTTTTCCACTTGTATTATACATTTAAGTTGTGAACAATTTGTTATTAAGAATAAGTGCAATAATTTTTACATTTTCGCAAATTATAGATACATTTGAACATTAGTATGATATTATTCAAGTAATAACCAATGAATTAATTTTTCTCTTGTGTTATAAATTTACGCTAGGAACAGTTTATTATTAATAAGAAATTGGATTATTTATACATTTTTATGATCTATAACTGTATTTTAATAACGTCATTGCCAAGAATTCCGTCCACTTACATCTCGCATCCTCAAAAATCATCAAATGTTTAACTGAAATATTGAAAATTTACAGAAGATAGGAAATGTTTTAAACTTTGAGCGTAGCTCTTTATATATATTTTATTGTCCTGTCAACATTGAAAATCACCCGAATATTATTTCTCTATGGATACTTCAGAAAAGTCTACAGAATACACTATTGTGTAGCAAATTCGTATCAGACACGGAACATTTTGTAAAACTGCAAGAACGTGCGTATAAAGCACGTTTGGAGGCTTATTTTTCAACTTCGATGATCAATTATAGTCATTCAGAAGCACGAATAATTATAATTATGGTCATTGATAAACACGGAATACCCTCGCCTAACTTTTAACACCACAATGAACCTCCTAATCTCTTTACTTTTTATGCAATGCTTCATTTTAGTCAAGAATCGTGCGTTTTTAGAAAAACTCACATTTTTTCGGAAACTGAAAGTGACGGAGCAATTTCGATTATAGATTCGTTTTCAGGGACGTAAACTTTACAGAAATTACCTAATAGATATTGTAAATTAGAGAAAGGGTTCAAATTTGTTGGACAGTGTAATTGAATGGTCTTAGCCCACGTCGTCGAGGGATAATTTAATTCTCCTTCACGAACATTGAACCAGCTCCTTCTTTTACGGTGCCTCGTTTCAATCGTTCCCATTTTTACGTTTCCCTTCCTTCGTCTTTTTTCCCTCCACCCTTCTCGTCTACGGCTAGTCAGCCTGTAACTCGGTCGTGAAACGACCCTTAAGGTGAACGAAATCGAACACTTAAAATCGTTGCATGGGTGATTACCCATTCAGTACTTTCGTTAGAACGATAAACGTTCCTTCGTTGCTACGAGAATCCATTCTCTCTTGCCCCTCCGTCCCTTCGCGAAACCGATAAACTACTCGGAAATCGTGCTTTTATACTTCGATTCTCGATAATGAGGTCACATTACCGACAGGCGTGTAATATTTCCATGATCCTCAAATTTGTCCCTTTTTCCATTTCTCTCCTTCGCCGTGGACTCACTCAGCAGAGTTAAATATGCATCGTGTTCCTTTGATGCGAATGTACATACATCCGATAATGGCTTCTTTGTGATCTGGGATTGAGGTTTGAAGGGAACATACGGATACATTTTCCTCTGGATACTGACGATCGTGAGTTATGTTAGAACCTAAAGCGTTCCTACTGTTTTAACTCGCACCGTTGACGGAATTGAAAATACTACGTAAAGCGAACTTAGAGTTATTCCTTATGAAAAACTGAATCAAAAACGTGGAATAATATCTTCTCATCCGAAGCTCAGTTTCCGAGAAATCGAGCTTGGAAGTTAGGTGCGAACGCGTGTGCACATTCGCTGTCGCTCAAAACTTTGACATCGTTTCTGATTTTCGTGGTTTATGAATAAAACAAGCAAAAAATTGCACAATCAGTTATTTTTTCTCTTCAATATTATAGATGTACCAAAAATATTTTATATAGTCCTTTATATTAGTCCATATTTGCCTTTTTATTCCTTAGAAACAGTCATTTTTCATTGCATTTCTTTATAATACCATTCGTATAGTTTGACAGTTTGCGATTATTGATAACTTACGAATGTATCAGATATGTACTCCTAATGTAACATGTACTGTTTATATGCTCGTGGAAAAAATTACAAATTTGGAAGCATATAAATTTTGAATAAATGATGTTTCGGTTTGATAGATTGAAATTTAATTTAACGTTCTAATTGTTTGCACCGATTTCCATTTGCATGGTAGTTAGAGGTAATCCATGAGTGAAACAAATGATCATTTTCAGAATATTGGTGCCATGGGACTTGGATCGAAAATGACACAGCATACTTAGTCGCGAGCACCGACGTGGGACGATACTGTCTCGTTTACAGTGCATCCGCCGCGGCAACAGGAAGTCGTGAGCTCTCAGTAACGGGCCATCTTGCTTCCTGTCCGAGGGCCTCACATCGTCATCTAGTATCGTGGCAGGTCAACCTCACGTCGTACGGTGAGCATTGTCAACGGTGCTTCTGATTATCGTGTCTCAACTCTGACATTGATCGGATCGATCTGATCGTTGTGTCTGTCTGCATACTAATTACTGGGCTGATTAGGTTGATCTCCCGTCGAATCAAGCTAGAGTAACTAGGCGAATAATTCACGCCAGTATTGGTGCAAGAATAGGGATTTTAGTAATTCTGGGGAAAATTGATTATTAAATGAAATCGGAGTTACAATTCACGGAACTTTTAATGACTCTTAGATACCAATAGATGTCTCTAAACATGGAACCAATTTCAGAACTTTGATATAATTAAAAATTTCCTGAGAACTTGTGTAGGATATAGAAATGAGAAGTCAGCAAAATTGAAAACTCGAAAAATTAAAAAATTTGGGAATCAAGGATTCAAAAATTTTTAATTTTGGAAAGCGTTGAAATTACAAGACCTAGGGTGATGTGAAAAACAGGAGCGTTGAGAATGAAAAAGGTAAAAACGTAACAGATTAAAAGCGTTTGAAAATTACAACCTTTGATACTCTGAAAAATTGCAAAACAAAAAGTTCAGGAAGCCAAGATATTAGGAAATGGGACGGATGTAAAATTGGAAAATTGAAAACTCGAAAAAAGCAATAACGCTGAAAGATTGAAAAATTTTGTAAATAACGAAAAAAATGAAAAGAAATATTCCATTCCAATTTCAATCTCTCTACGTCTCCGCCAAAAACCACAACTAACTCCAAACTCGTTTTTCCAGCGCAATGCGGCGACATCTCGACGGCCACGTCGTGGACCTTCCGGATTTCCGCCTCGGTATACATCCTGGTGGTGCTGGGCACCCTATTCGGCAGGTACATCGCGAGGTGATACCATTGAGTGAAGAAACTAGGCCACGGGACGGCCGTGTAGTCAGCTACACAAACTCAAGTCGTCAGCACAGCAACTACAAACAAAAGAAGTCTTTATATAAATATAAATATATAAATACAAATAAAAAATATATATATAAATATAAAGTATATATATACATAAATATATATATACTAAGCGGAACGATTTACCGAGAGATCCCGAAAATGCGACTGGAGAAAGTAACCTAATAATCAAGCATAATAGCGCGTAAGTGTCCGTGGGTGCGAGTCGTGCAGAGAAAAAAGCGCGGAGTGGGGAGAAAGGAGCAGGAGTGGGGAGAGTGCCGCTGCGAAGCTTCGCCTGAAAGAGAACCTCGTTATAGCTCCGAACATGGCGGATCCTTGGCTGACCGGATGTACATAGGACGTGTACATGTATATAAAATTCACATAAGAAAGCTTGGTTTTATTGGAGTAGCTGCTTCTGGGAGTATTGTCTTCTGTTAGGGGTCAGGGAGACCCGAGCCCTTCTCCAGGCGAGTATGTGTACCTTTTGATGGCTGGCTTGGGTGTTGGGACCTTGGGAGGTTTTTATGAGCCAATTTTTTCTGAATGAACATCTTTTTCTTACTTAATTCATGCAGATTCTTAAACGAAAATTTAATCCTTTATTTCTTTTCTAATTTTTATTGATATAATCTAGGATTGAATTGATAGAAATTGTTTTATTTCAATACTATTTAAATTCGTTTGAATCTTCGTATATACAGGATGGTACTAGAAATACAAATAATTTACAAAATTTTGGAATTAAAACGTATTTCGCTAATGACGAAAGATACTATTATCCCACAGGGTGTAAGTAGTAACTATGGCACGCGAGAATTTTAAATATCCCTCTACTTTTGCAAAATTGTTACTGCTCTATATAGCTATGTAGTGGGAGATAATTAAATTTATATCGTGTCACACAAAACGTCATATCGTTACTTCAGAAACAATCATTTCCTTGTTAATAATCCAAGAATAAGAATGTAGTTTCGAAAAGGAAGGATATTAATAACTGTATTTCATACGTGTCATTGAATAATGCAACAAATGTTTAATCATGGTCTTCAATTAAACGAAGAAGTTACTTTGTATTAAATTAAAACTGTCTTTTAAATCCAGCTCATCGCTATAAACTCGTTAGATTACGTAACACTATTATAATTAGTGTACCTTCGTTTACTTTATCATTCATACCGTTACATTTAATACCCATGCGACTGGAGAAAGTAACCTAATAATCAAGCATAATAGCGCGTAAGTGTCCGTGGGTGCGAGTCGTGCAGAGAAAAAAGCGCGGAGTGGGGAGAAAGGAGCAGGAGTGGGGAGAGTGCCGCTGCGAAGCTTCGCCTGAAAGAGAACCTCGTTATAGCTCCGAACATGGCGGATCCTTGGCTGACCGGATGTACATAGGACGTGTACATGTATATAAAATTCACATAAGAAAGCTTGGTTTTATTGGAGTAGCTGCTTCTGGGAGTATTGTCTTCTGTTAGGGGTCAGGGAGACCCGAGCCCTTCTCCAGGCGAGTATGTGTACCTTTTGATGGCTGGCTTGGGTGTTGGGACCTTGGGAGGTTTTTATGAGCCAATTTTTTCTGAATGAACATCTTTTTCTTACTTAATTCATGCAGATTCTTAAACGAAAATTTAATCCTTTATTTCTTTTCTAATTTTTATTGATATAATCTAGGATTGAATTGATAGAAATTGTTTTATTTCAATACTATTTAAATTCGTTTGAATCTTCGTATATACAGGATGGTACTAGAAATACAAATAATTTACAAAATTTTGGAATTAAAACGTATTTCGCTAATGACGAAAGATACTATTATCCCACAGGGTGTAAGTAGTAACTATGGCACGCGAGAATTTTAAATATCCCTCTACTTTTGCAAAATTGTTACTGCTCTATATAGCTATGTAGTGGGAGATAATTAAATTTATATCGTGTCACACAAAACGTCATATCGTTACTTCAGAAACAATCATTTCCTTGTTAATAATCCAAGAATAAGAATGTAGTTTCGAAAAGGAAGGATATTAATAACTGTATTTCATACGTGTCATTGAATAATGCAACAAATGTTTAATCATGGTCTTCAATTAAACGAAGAAGTTACTTTGTATTAAATTAAAACTGTCTTTTAAATCCAGCTCATCGCTATAAACTCGTTAGATTACGTAACACTATTATAATTAGTGTACCTTCGTTTACTTTATCATTCATACCGTTACATTTAATACCCCGAAATTTTTCAATGCATTTAATTCCTGTATCTTTATGTTAATGCAAACACCGAGCAAACGATCCCGACATACACGCTATTGCGGATCGTGAATTTTCAAACTTAACGATTCCTGAATTTTTCAAGTAACCTCCCCCCCTGTTCTCTGGCAATTAACCTGCACTAATTAGAAACCTCCCTGAACGCGCAACGTGTCGTGCGGAGCGGAAAACCAATTTAGAAAAAACAGCGAAAGGAAAACAGCAAAAAAAAGACTAAAAAGCAAAAAAGCCGATCCAAAAAAATACAAAAAAAAAAAAAAACAAAACGAAATGAAAACGAAACTAAGGGTGCTGGGGCCAATACTGTGTGCGTTCTGAGTGCTGATCGTAGCCCACGTGTCTGAGTGAAAGAACCAGGGAGAAAAAGGACGAAACGTGAGAAAAGAGAGAAACTAGAGAGAGATAGAGAGCGAGAAAGAGATAGATAAATAGATAGGGAGAGAGAGAGGGAGAGAAAGAGAGAAAAAGAAACTTATAACACTTATTTAGGTCTACGACGTGTCCGCCATGTTCAGAGTGGTGCGTGCCGTTCTCCAGGTCGAACGAAACGTGTATTTGCTCGGAACAGGAACGTTTCAGCTGTAATTATACGCGTTTTAATTAAAGTTCCGCGGCACTGGAGTGAAAAAGACGGAGTGGGCGAGAAAGACAGAGAGAGAGAGAGAGAGAGAGAGAGTGAGTGAGAGAAAGAGATAAAGAGACGGAGAAAAATAGAGACGGCTAACAAAACCGGGGAGGGGATTTCCCGCGCGTGTGCGCGCGCGCGTGTATACGTGTGTACGAGAGTGCGGCGAGTCAGTGGCAAAGAGGAAGGAAGAAAGGAAGATACGGTGAAAGAGAGGGACGGAACAGCCTCTCGCTGCGCCACGAGTACCAACGGCTGAGGAACGATTATTATTATTATTACTTTTATTATTATCATTATTATTATTACTATTATTTTTATCGCTACCTTTATTATTATTATTATAACCATCGTTGTACGTGCTGGAACGAGCGTCCAAATGGACTTCCCTCTTCTTCCGTGTCCTCTTGCGCGTGCTTTTTCTTTCCGTTCCACCACCCCATCGGCTTTCACTCGTGCTCCAACCCCGTGGGCCGGTCATCCGGGCGGACGTTTAGATCGTAAGGGACGTCGAAAGCCGCACAGAGCGACACCCCGTGTGTTTCAACGACTAACGAAAAGAAGAGAAAAGAGGAATAAGACGAAGGAAAGAGGTGGAGAGAGACAGGAGAGTTTTCCTGATCTCGCGTGAGTGATCTCTGCTCTTCGATCAACCCTGGTCGACCCTCGAAACAAGGTTCATCCCGTGAAATTAGGATCTTCTTGTTCCTTTTAAGAGGGGTTCGTTCGGGTATTTACATGGTGACCGCAGAGCACGAAACCGGGTTTGCTGGCGTAAAGGGGGCGAGTGAGGGCACTTCGCGATACCGTGGTCGAGCTTTGCCACGATTCGAGCGAATTGCGATTCAATTGAATTCGTAGCTCGATTAACGAGCACGATACGAATTATGACACTCGCGAAAGGACGTCTCGTTGGGTGGCTTTTGATCCACGGAGGGTAAGATTGATTTCAGGGGTCGATTTCGAAGGAATGATTTAGAAGAGAGATCACGCGAAACTGCGCGGAGAAGGGTATTGCGAAACGACCGTTCGGTTCTTTGCTTGCTGTGGGACAGCTGGACTTTTCATAACGAATTTGTTGGGTACAAAAAGCTGAATTAATGGACGGCGATCTTCATTTGTGGCCATGAGTGATATTTTCTGCCTGGTCGAAACAAATGTGCGAGTGGAGATTAATAAATGTAATGAAAGGGATAATTAGGGAAAGAGAAATTTATTAACGGGGAAATGGAGAGACATTAATCTCGTTAAAATTTTCCACGGGATAGATATGAACGAAGAAAAATTGCTGTACTAATGTATTGGTGTAATTAAACATTGTGATAAGAAAATGAACACGTGGAAACTGGGAAATTGAAATGGGAAATGGGGAATGTAAAATTTGAACAAATGGAAGGAAAGAATTGGAGAAGGAGAAAATGAGAAACGGAAAACAGGATTTTTATGAAAAATTACGTTTCATTATAAAATCAATCTCCTACTCTTAGACATTTCGTACACTGTTGAATGTGTCTTGCGACTATGATGCAACGTGACAAATACTTGTAAAAGAACTGTCCCAAGTTCCAGAGCAATGAAAGAATTGAACCGGTCACAGACGAGAGATTACCCAGAAAACCACGACATATCGATAAATCGAGAGAATTCATTCAAGAATGTCAGGGAAGCTGCTAGGTAGCGCTAGATAATCAATTATCTCACCGAACATCCTGACCTGCGAAGACAAGTAGATGGAACCATGATGAAACTGACAAGAGGGAAGCTAACTACTATAAAAAAAAGGACACAACCATTTATCGAGAAAAATTCAGCATAGAAAATGTTGCAGAAATTCAAAGTCTCGACAAAGTACAGATATTTTTGACCTGGAGCTATTTTAATTAAGGATCTACCGATATCCTGTGAACGAAAATAGAGGACAGTACTCAATCGCGTAAGTTAGTCGACACGCTATACATACTATAAATACGAGTATAAATACGGGATATAAATAATATAAATATTATACATACGTTATATATACATATTATATATATATATATATATATATAAATACAGGAGGACAATTCGATGTTGGCTATAAACTTGTAAACTATTAGATAGATAAAACAAAAGATGAGAAAATGGAACTGAATGTCTAGATAGGATACAGCGTGAGCAGG